GGGGGCCCAAAGCACCACAAAGGGTTGCAAACGTGAATGTCACAGGCAGCGAGCCCAGGGTCTCCGCAGAGGATGCAAAGACGTGACCCCCGACGGGAAATAGCCTGTTCCCAGCTCTGGGGTGCCCAAACATCCCTGGAAATAGCCAGGACTGAGATTTTTAAACACCTCCCGCACAGGGTCATGGTCGTCACCTCCCGGCAGGGGTCCAACGGGGGCCAGGCAGCAGGAGAGCCGCCGGGGCAGGGGCTGGGATTTGGGACCCAGACGCATCGCTCCACAAACAATCAACCGCCACCAGCTAGTTTCACCTTTTATTAAATTTCCCAGAACAAAAAGAAGATAGAGAGCAAAAGGTAAAGCCTGCTGTGAGGCCTTCGCAATGCTGGCGCTCTGGACACCCTCCCCCCTGGGCAAAGGGGATTTTCCTCCCAGAAAAAAAAAACATCTGGGGGTCCTTTAGGTGGAACTAAGAGTGAAAACATCCCTCTATCAGGGAAAAAAGTGAAAGGGAGTTTCTCCTGCTGCCAGAGCCCAGGATGAGCACGTGCCACATGGGAGGTGAAGGGGCCACGGGAAACAGGGACTCACGGCCGGGGCACGCTCCCCCTCCGGCTCCCACGCGCCAGACCTGCCCGTCCCAGCCAGACTCCTCCTAAACAGAGGGCAAAAAAAGAGCTCTAGGAGGGAGGAGAGGTATTTGGGGAAGGAGAGCCCAGAAGAGGTGACAGCAGGTCCTCTGCTGAACTGCCTGGGATGCGCCCGAGCCACCTGAGCCCCTGCTGCTGGCCCAGACCGGAGGGCGAAGGCCTCTGGGTTTCAGGCACCTGCACCTTTTGCAAAGTTTTCCCCCCTTCACCTCTGTAGGGAGGCCGAGCAGCGAGGAGCTGGACGGAGGCTGCCGGCGGGGGCGGGACGGGGGCACGACGCCCCCCCGTCCTGCCGGGGCAGCTTGCAGGAACGGGCAGGAGGGGCGAGAGGAGGTCCCGGTTACAGGGGTCCTGCGGCGTCGATGGCTCCCGGCTGTGGTTGTCACCCAGAAAGGGCTGTGCCGTGCCAGGGCTCCCTGCAGGAGGAGCCCCGTGAAGGACAGTTTGGCCAGGAGGCTCTCGGGACGCCCCAGAGCCCAGCCCCTGCCTGGTCCACCGCACAGAGGAGGGGTCATCCCATCTCCAGCAAGCCCCCGCGCGACCAGGGGTAGCAGAGGCAGGGAGGGGGTCAGATGCAGGTGGTGAAGGAGATGGTGATTCTAGCTAACGATCTAATCGGGGCCAAACCTTTTGCAGGTGGCTTTATATAGCTCAGGGACACCTCCCTGGTGCTGTGTCCCTGGCACAGCCTGGGCTCATTACAGAGGAGGGCTATGGCTTGGCTTGGCTGCAGGAGTTCAGCCACCCCTACCCTGAAGTGGGATGCAGGGCTCTCCGGTGAATGGGGCACTGCAGCCTGATTGGGAGACCTGCCAAAAGCAGGAGTAAGAGGAGCTGGAGAGATAAGCAAGTGAGCATATGGAGCCCAGTGCAAGTGGTTTCAAATGCATTAAGCCAACCACAGGCCCTGAACTTAGATCTGGGGAGAGACAGGTCACAGGAGATGTAGTGCTATAAAACTGCCCCCACAGGCTGTGCCAGGCCCCATGGCCCGTCCTTGCCCTATCTGCCCCACACACTGCCCACCCCACGGCCATTCGGCTGCCCCGTTCCCCTCCTCGCTGCCCGGCTGCAAACAGGGCCCTGCCTTACCTGCACCCAACGCAGGGTGGACAATTTGCTGGAGCATCTTTGCCCCTGGAGGGCTCGCTAATACTGGCTTCGTTTGCAAGCACTCTCAGCAAGTGTAGTTCAGCCTGTGTTGCTAGAGTCCTATGCTGGTAGTGACCCAGGGTTAAGGTTAGTGCAAAGGGCAGGCATGGAGTGGGGCAGCAATGCTGCGGTTTCGGGAGTGGGGAGGTTTGAAAGCAAACCCACAACTGTCCTGGATCCCACATCGGGTGGGGGCCTCTTGCCAGAGCCAAATGCTTGGATCAATTCGGGGTAAAAAAGCAAAGAAAACTAACAATGTGTTGTAATTCAGTTCACTTAGTCCTCTGCAAAAAGGAATGATTATTTATCAACAGGGTTTGAGGGATCCTGCCGGCCCCTGTGCCTAGCTGGGCTGCCACAGGAGCTGAAGCCAGCTGAAAAGGGAGTGGAAGAGAAGAAATGAGAGCAGTAAGAGTGACCCGACTTCTCAGTTAATAATTTATCATCAAAATATGACTTGAGTAGCTGAATACGGCTCAGCACGCACCCCGCCTGGAGCATGCGTTCCTAGATGGATTTCCTGCGCGGGCGGGGGTGCTGCCGGCAGTGAGGGCTGTTGGATGATAAAGTGCTCCCCGGGGAAGAGCCGGTCTGCCCCCTCGTACTCAGGGAGACCTCATCGATTTTGTAGGAAATTGAGTTGTAATAGATGGGGTTGGTGTGGCAGCTCAGGGTCTCGGGGTGGGAGGGCACAGGACTGCCGCACAGCTGAGGTCTGTAGCACAGGCATGTGCAGAAGGAGGGGACCTTGGTGGTCGAGTTGGCGGACTGGCGCCGCTGTCTCTCCACATCTTCCTGGATCAGCGGGATGAGGTTCATCTGGCTTGTCCTGTCCTCAACAGGGAGAAAAATAGCGTTGTTGCTCTGGTTGTCCTCCTTCGGTTTCAGGTGGATGTTGTTCCTGGCTCTCCGCAGGGATGCTCTCTCTTCAGCATCCCGCCGCTCATCCTCTGAGTTCATCGTCAGAAACCTCAGCACCACCAAGTTAAGGAAGGCGCCTATGACAGTCAGGCCCACCAGGATGTACATGAAGCTGAAGGCCACATACGGGGGCTTTTTTTGCAAAGCTTCATTCTTCTGCAGAGCCACAAAGTCTCCAAAGCCGATAGTGGTCAAGGTGATGAAGCAGTAATAATAGGCGTGAAAGAACGTCCAGCCCTCGAAATAAGAGAAAGCTGCTGCACCGATGCACAGGGTCCCCATGCAAGAGAGAAAGCCGACTAAGACCATATTTTCCATGGAGACGTTGGTTGTCCTCATGCCTAGACATTTCTTTATCTTCTTGAGCAGTAACCGGACTACGGTGTTCATGCGCTCCCCCAGGCTCTGGAACATAACCAGCGTGAGGGGGATGCCAAGGATCGCGTAGAACATGCAGAAAACCTTGCCAGCATCGGTGCCTGGGGCAGCATGTCCATAGCCTGCAAAGCAAAGAGGAAAGGCAGGCATCAACCCCATATCTGCATGTAGAAATGCTACCCCGGATCGGGTAACCACCTCTGCTGAGAGGAGCAGACGAAGAAGAGGGGAAAATAGAAGAAAATAAATCATGAACAGATTTGCAGTCCTCCAGCTGATGCTAATGGGGCCACGGGAAGCCACATCATTTTGGATGACAGCAGATCTTAGTGTCATATGGATAGAACCTCTTTTGGTCTCTAGAGAGCAAAGTTACTGTCCTAATAGTCTTTGAGCCTGTATGGGGTCATGGAAATTAGAGCTGGACTTGGGGTCTGCAAGCCGTCTGCAGCTCACAAGCAATGCAGGGGCAACGAGGCCATGCTGGCACAGGATCTGCAGGGTAATCTGACTTCCCAGCCTGGGGGGAGGAAAAGGGCAACGTAAGATGTGGAGACCTTCAGCATAGGTCATCCTGTGGCAAAGGCACCCATCCAACCCAATCCCTCCCACAGGTGCCCTTGCAGAATCATGGTCACCTCCCTTGCCCCCTTGGCCCTCCCGTGTAGCATGCATCTTCAACTCTTAGCTGTGTGATAGTTTGTTACGTGGCCTGTTGGACAGGAGCTACAGGGCCAGTCCCTGCAGAAGCAGGTTGTGCAGAGCAACTTCTGATCTTTTCCAGCATCAGTGCAAGAAGAGACAGACATAAAGTACTGCTGAACATCTTCATTGTGGGGGAGGGGAGGTTGTACTGTTTTAAACACAATGAAGTATTTACTCCACTGCAGCTCTGTCAGCAGCCTTGTCCTAGAGACCAGAGAAAAGGAGAGAACATCTCCCATTCTCCTCAAATCCCTTTCTGAGTTTTAATTTCCCCATCTTGTTCTGAGTTTCAGAGCTGTGACTCAAGGACTCACACAATTACCCTGAGTCGTAATGAAGTATTCACTGCAATCTTCCGGACTTTAGTGATTCTGCACCCACCTGTCTTAATTATATAAGCTTAAGTGAAATTGGTGGCTTCTGACCTAAACGGATGAGTAACTAACTCAGTGCAAGGGAGTCATGCAGCATCGCGCTGCGTGGGGGTAGCGGAGGAGGCAGCCGATCCTTTCTTTATATGAGAAACTACAGGGATGGAAACTTCCTTTCTGAACGTGTCCGCAGGCACCACCAGCTCACCCAGCAGGGCGTGAAGCAGGCTCTTTCCCGCACTGCTGTGTGGCCTTTTGCAAGCGGCTATTTTACATTTCACGTCTTCCTTGTGTTCATGTGATTTTTGCATGAAGAACATGGAAAAAACGCATTCTTTTTATTTCTTGGTTTCATTCAAAGTTATGACTTGGCTACACCTCTGCCTCTGCTGACAGTGGATTTCCAGGACTTTTAGGGAAACTGTTAGCATGCAGCGATGGAAAGAGCAGAGGATGATTAATGCGTTGTCCCGCGCTCTCAAGCACACCTCCCACTCCAGGAAATTCTTTCAATTGGACAGAGCCAAGAGGCAGAGCACAGCGTTACCCTCAAATACGCTACGCTCACAACTGCAAATGCAAGGGGGAAACAGTTTCTAATTGCTGTGCGTGTTTATAAAGCCTGGCAATCAAAAATGATAAACTTAATTCCTGCATGCCACATTTCACAGAACACAGAGCAGAAATAAGACTGCAGTGGCAAAAAAATCCCCAATCAGATCCTTAGCCTAATAACTGATCACAGTTATCAGGTCCTAAGACAT